CTGTTTGAAAGGTTTTCTGGTAGTGTAGTGTTTATATCATGTACCATATATGGGCTTAGACCTTGCAACAAATATTGATAGTTAACTGACTCTTTATATACGGGCTTGGACCTTGCAACTACCAGGGTACCATGAAAATATACCATCACCAGGTTACCATGAAAATATACTACCACCAGTTAACCATGAAAGTATACTACCACCAGTTAACCATGAAAATATACTACCACCAGTTAACCATAAATGTATGCTATCACCAGGTTACCATGAAAATATACTACCACTAGTTAACCATGAAAATATACTACCACCAGTTAACCATGAATGTACCTAATCACCAGGTTACCATGAAAATATACTACTACCAGTTGACCATGAAAATAAACGACCACCAGTTAACCATGAAAATATACTACCACCAATTAACCATGAAAATATATTACCACCAGTTAACCATGAAAGTATACTATCAAGAGGTTATAGTATTTTGGCACTTGTGTATAAAGTTAAAATCATAAATAATATTCAACGTTAAACTGGTACACAGAGTGTGATTCAGACTATTAACTGTTTGAAGTGAAAGGTAATTTTGTGTTAAGATTAAAAATACTTATCTTCATCTCACAGTTTTCCAGTTTCATTCGCATAACCTCTATAACCTCCTAAATGAATATCAAATGTTTTTTTTTCAGTAAATCTTTATATTCTACCTGTTATTTTCTTTAACCCAACACCACATACACTTGGTCGATTTGACTGATCTTGTAACCACCACAAAAGGATGAAATAAATCTAAATCATTCTTTTTTGGTTCTATATTGACTGTTGATTGGAACAGAAATTATAATTATTTATCCTCAACAGTTTAAAGCTCATAACAGTTTACAGTTATTTAATTTTTTGTATTATCTCTCTTTGAAATGTGCCTAACTAATAATCCCACGATACAAACTGCAAGTCGCATGTACTGTACTGAATGATATAACGCAGGAGCATATCCTGTGTGGGAATTTTTTTAATATTACTTTGTTCATTACATAACAAATTTCAAATATTTACATTTTAATTACTTTTATAATAATAAATAAAAAATATATGAAACAAAACAAAACATTTAGTACTTATGTTTGGTCTCGTTTGTTTGCTGATGAAACTTAACCCTAATTCCTTGTAATGACAGGAGTAGTAACAGAAAATGTTTTCATTCATTTGAAATATGCATTTAAAAACACAAAATAACACATAAAAAGCAATAAATTTCCTACAGCTATTATAATTTAACTGGCTACATAACCTTACCATATTTTCTTTTGCAGTGTAGTCTGAATTCAGTAATAGCAAGTTTTAATTTGTAGGTGAAATAAAAATATCTACTGAGAATAAGCTAACATATATGTGATTCAGTAGATTAAAACTTTCACTTTCTATTGGTTATAAATGATGTAATATAAAACATCACAGAAAACCACTGGTAATTTGTCAAGGAGAGGGTCTGACTTTCTGACTTATTTCTCCATAAACAAAGATTGAAGGCTATAAGAATTATACTATGCATTAGTAATGCTTACACCATAATCAGTAATTTATGTTAGACTCAGGACGTCATAGAGGGTTGATGAGAAAACAGAAAATGGGTAAGTGTGAGATAGCAAATGCCAGCCAAACAGAGACTGAGAATTTATTTAAATATTTCCTTTGGAAATTAAAAACTAAAACTTATATAACATTAAAATTTGATTTATTAACTATATTTAGAAGTCAAGTTTATTTGTATACATTGATAATACAGTAGTTTAAATAAATTTTAAATTTAAATCCCTAAAAAGATGACTTGTACACTTTCACCTACTTGCAAATATTTCAGTTAAGAAAAATATTTGATAAAAAAATGAAGATTTTTTTATGGATTCCTCAGATTCAAATTTAATCAGACTAGAACTATAAACTAACAAAACTTACCTAAGACTTCAGATATTATGATATATTTATTTTTATACTCTTACTCTCAAGTGAATGGTGTATTACAAAATTTCATTATAATAACATGTTAGCCATATATAATACATTACTATATAATGTAAAATTTTATTAAGTGAAGCACACACATACGAAATGTATTAAGTAACATCAGCTGGGCATTTCATTCTACAAATAGCTAAGAACTCCAAATTCAAGCTAATACAGTTCTAGCCAGCCAAGCTGAGACAGTAATATGGTATATCTTCTAAGAGAGATCTATATGTCAATATATAATTATAACTTAAATAACTTTACTTTGCTGGATTTATAATACAATTTCCATAATTACCTCTTGTAGAAACATAGCTCCAATTTTTCTAAATAATGGATCACTAGGCTCCAAAAAAGTGGTACTAGAAAAAAAAAGTTCATAAGACATAAAAACTTTGAAAAAAATGGTATAAACAGTATAGAGTCAGTTCTATATATACAGGCTTGGACCTTGAAACAAATATCAATAGTTAACTGACTCTATATATACAGGCTTGGACCTTGAAACAAATATCAATAGTTCCAAACCCGTATATATAGAGTCAGTTGCTATTGGAATTTGGTTCAAGGTCCAAACCCGTATATATATAGTCAGTTAACTATTGATATTTGTTTCAAGGT